CGGCGGGGGGGCGGGGCGCGGTTACCATAGGGACGACGAAGGACACACCCCTGTCCCCGGGAGCCTACAGGTCACTGGGGGAAACAGACATTCCTACAATAGATCCTTTCAAACCGTGACAAGTGTCATGAAAAGCCCACGAGAGGAACAGGGAGACAGACAAGGTGAACTTGGAGAAGCAGGCAAGGGCCAGAGCCTTCGAGCAGAAGCAGGCCCGGGCCGGCCCACACCGGCTCCAGGCTGGTTCCTGGTCAGAGCTGTTCGGGCTGTAAGCGCCTTCCGACGGCCCCCGGGGGCAGCTGTGCAGGCAGGAAGCCAGGAGGGTAAGGAGATGGGTTTCAACGGGCCAACATGGCAGCAGGGAATCTAGGAGCCGGTTGTCATGACCAAGGGCAGAGGTGGTGGGGGGCTGGCACCAGAGGCCATGGCGGAGGGATGGGAGGTGGCCAGACAATGGGTATGTTCCGAGGATGGAGCCAACCTGATTTGCTGATGTGGGAGGGGGTAGGAGACAGGGAAAGGAAAGTGTAGGGTGACTCCTGAGCTTCTGGTCGGAGCTGCACACAGCGTTGGAGGCCTGCTGGTGCCCCGTGAAAGCCAGTGGCTCTGGGGGCAGAGCAGGGTCCCCAGTTAAAACATAGCGCCCCGGGAGGAAGCTGTCTTGAGCCTCTTTATCCTGAAATGTGTTTTTTAGGGTAGCAATAAGTTTCTCATCAAAAAGGGGTCTCACGGTCAAGTAAGTTGGGTGAACCACGGCCTGAAGGCCCTTTCCAGGGCTCCTCGGGAAGTCTTGTGTCCTCCAGAAGGAGGTCTGAGTCTGTCTCGCACCCCCAAAAGATCGTACCCTGGGACCTTTCTTTTCTTTTCCCTGTTTTGCTGGAACACCCAGGTTGAGCTGTGAAGGCCGTTAGTGGTTGCATCCGTTCCAAAAGCACTTTCTGAATGCACGTTGTCGGGGCCCTCGAGTCAAATGCCCACGGGGCCCCGATGAATCACAAGGGCCCGGCCTGGGGCGGCGGAGAACCTGGGGAACTGGGGGCCGAGCGCCCGGCTCAGGGGGCAGTGGCCACACACACCAGGTGTGGCCACATGGCTAGGGCTTCTGGGGTTTCAGGAGGTGTCGAAGATCAGGAAAGCAGGGTTTTTGTGTGAAGTCTCCCGCCTTTTAACCGTTGTTAACTACTTAAAATGCTTCTGCCTTGCAACCTCAGATTAGTCCTGTGTCCTTGTGTCCTCGTGTCACGTGAGGAGGAAATGGAGGCCCAGAGCAGGGAGGGATTGGCCTCACAGGAAAGTCATTCATACGCTCATCTGTGCTGGGACCACACGATTCCCAGGAGCCTTAGCTGAGCACTTACTCGGTGCCTTAGTTAGACACCGGCGGGGTCGGGGGGACAAGGAGGCTGGGAGAGGACAGTCCCTGCCCTGGAAGTCCGTCCTTCGCAGGGCTTCAGGGTCCTCATCTGTACCTGGAGCAGGCAGGTCCGGGGGTCTCTGACGGGCTGCCCATTCTGGCAGCCTGGGGCTCTGGTCCAGAGAGCCTGGGCCCTGGGTGGACCTGGGTGGGGAGGCAGGGTGAGCTGGGTCAGAGGTCAATCCAGGCCACCCCCTTCTCCTCAGCCAGAGAACATCCTGTGCGTCAACACCACGGGCCATTTGGTGAAGATCATTGACTTTGGCCTGGCACGGAGGTACCCCCTTGGTGGGTGGGGAGGGCAGGGCAAGCCTCTGAGGTGGGCGGGGGACAGGGGAAGAGCAGAGGGTGCGGGGAATGGGCTGGGGGCTGCGCTCTGAGCTCGTGCTCTCACTCCCAGGTATAATCCCAATGAGAAGCTGAAGGTGAATTTTGGGACCCCAGAGTTTCTGTCACCTGAGGTGGTGAATTATGACCAAATCTCCGATAAGACAGACATGTGGAGTATGGGGGTCATCACCTATATGCTGTGAGTCCTGAGGGAGTGTGGTATCTATGGGGTTGGGGCACATGGGTGGGCAGCTGAGGCCAAAATTGGCCTTGGGGTCCTGGTGAGGTGGGTTCTACCTCCGCACTCGCTCGGTCAGGGTTTTTGGGTGTGCTAGGGGGAACCAGGAAAGGGGAACTTTGTACCCATTTTGTAGATGGAGAAATGAAGGCCCCTAAAGGCATAGTGTCCTAGTCCAGGTTCCTGGACAGCAGATCCTTGATGACCCAGGGTGGGCGCAGGGGGCAGCAGACATTTTTTTGTACACTCATCATTCCTCTTCTTCACTGTAACCCTGGGAAGCCGGGATGATTATGTCCATTTTACAGATGAGAAGAGTGAGGCTCAGAGAGGGGAACTGACTTGCCCAAGGTCACCCAGCCAGACTCAAACCCGGGTCTGTGCCCCTCAGGAGGCCGGGGCTCTTTTCAGCACATGGTGCTGCCTCCCAGGATCTGCCTCCAACCCTTGAGCCCCCAAAGGTGACTCAGTATCTCCCATCTCCCCTCCCTATCCCCTGACACCCCATCTCTCCAGGCTGAGCGGCCTCTCGCCCTTCCTGGGAGACGATGACACAGAGACCCTGAACAACGTCCTCTGTGCCGACTGGAGCTTTGACGGCGACACCTTTGAGGCTGTGTCCGACGAGGCCAAAGACTTCGTCTCCAGCCTCCTTGTCAAGGACCAGACGTGAGGCTCACATGAGGACACAGCCCCCGTGTGTGCAAGCCCAGTGTGTCTGTGTGTGTCTGTGTGTGTGCATATGTGTGTGTACGTGTGTGTGCGTGCGCGTGCGTGTGTGCCTGTGCACGGGCAGGGCAGGAAGAAGGCCGGGGCCGGCCGGGTTCTGGTGCTTCACAGGCGTGCGCCCGCCCTCACCACACTGCCCCTCCCACAGGGCCCGGATGAGCGCTGCCCAGTGTCTTGCCCACCCCTGGCTCAACAACCTGGCAGAGAAAGCCAAGCGCTGTAACCGACGCCTTAAGTCCCAGATCTTGCTTAAGAAATACCTCATGAAGAGGCGCTGGAAGGTACCACTGGGCGGGTGGGGAGGTGGGAGGGGCTGCAGGCGGGAAGAGCTCCTGGCAGATCCCAGGCCCCACCAGCCCTGCCTTGGCAGCTTCTATGGACCAGGCCTAGCCCTGTCTGGAAAACAGGGTTGGCTTTTATCTCTTTGTTCTGGTTCCTGTCCTGGAGCAGTGACCCTCCACCCACCACCTCCACCCTGGGGAGGGGTGTCCATTTGAAGCTCGGGCTCAGGAAAAGATCTCTGACCCCATTACAGGCCCCTTCCCTTCATTTTACAAATATTTATTGAGCATCTACTACTTTTAGGCACCAGGAGTATACCAGTGGACAAAAGAGACAAGGATTTTAGTCTTTGTGGACTTACTTTAGATAGAGGGTGGGGAGTTATTAGAAGGGGTTAAGGAAGGGCTCTAGAAAAAAGTAAGGATGGTCAGGAGTGCCAGGCGAGAGGCTGCACTTCTAAGTAGGGTGGTCAGGAAGGGCCCACTGAGAAGGAACATGTGAACAAAAAACCTGACGGAGGTGAGGAGTGAGCCATGCTGGTACTGGGAAGAAGAGTGTTCCAGGAAGAGGGAACAGCCAGTGCAAAGGCCCTGAGGCACAAGCATGGTTGGCAAGCATGAGGAACAGCTAGGAGGCCAGTAAGGCTGGAGTGGGATGAGCAAGGGGTGAAGGGAGTTGAAGGCAGAGAGGAATGGGAAGCAGGGGGTGGAGGGACTCATTGGCCATGGCAAGGGGCTTACATTTTAGTTGGAGCGAAATAAGAACCATCGGAGCATCTAGAGCAGAGAGGTGCTCAGGTCTGGCTGCCCTACCTGTTGAATGAAGGAAGGGGTCCTGGAAGATATAGTATCATGGCACCTCCTGTGGCCATTCTGGGTACTGCACCCTCTCTAGCCTCTGGCCTTTGGGGAATGAAGGTGGTCTTAGGAGCCGCTCTGCGGTGCCAGTTTCTCCTCTGCCCCGAGGCTGACTGGGATCCTTCTCCCTCGTTCCCCAGAAAAACTTCATTGCTGTCAGTGCTGCAAACCGCTTCAAGAAGATCAGCAGCTCGGGGGCACTCATGGCTCTGGGGGTCTGAGCCCCAGGAGCGGCTGAGGCCTGGACGCAGCCGCACGGTGGCCGGGGCTGAGGCCACACAGCCCAGAAGGCCAGAGCAGACAGGCCAGATCCCCAGGGTGGGCTGGCTAGGACAAGGCTGCGCCAGGCTGGGAGGCTCGGGGCTCCCCACGACCCCACGCAGTGACTGCTTCCCCGACGTGAGCCGCCTCAGATGTGGCCTGAATCGATCCTGCTAATGCCTCCCCAGACAGGGCCCCGGCCCCGTCAGCCACAGCCCAGATGCCACAGGCCCTGTTGTTCCCTCCCTGGCTCCCCCTCTTGGAATTGCTGCCCTGGTGACCCCTGCTTGGCCTCACCTGGGGCATCCCTGGCTTGGGCTTGCTCCTAGCTGGAACGGGAAGGCTGGGGGTCCCAGCATGCGGGGCTTCTGCAGTTGTGGATGGGAGGCCCTTGGTGGGGCAGGAAGGTAGCAAGGCCAATTCCTGAGGCCCAGCTGCCAGGGGAGACAGAGCAGGCTTTGTGAAAGAGGACCTCCATGCCCCCACCCTCCTCCCCACTCCCAACAGATAAGGCCGAGTACACACCATCTGGCCCGGCCCGGCCCCCGCCCACCTTCCTGACGACCACCAACACACAGGAACTCTGTGTGAGAGAAAGACGCCCAGCCCAGGCCTGGCAGAGGGGGAGGGGAGAGGCCTGGGGGACAGGGAGACCACCCCTGAGCTTGCCTGAGGGCCAGGCGGGCCCAGCCCAGCCACTCGGGGCCCTCACCCCCAGGGTCACCCATGGCTTCGGATGATGGGGTCAGCAGGCCCAGGAGGAGTGGGAAAGCCATCGGGCAGTCCCCCACCTGCTCTCAGCTTGTGCCTTGTAAATAAATGTACAGGTTGGATGTGGCTTCCTTCCCTGGGTGTGTGCATGCACTTGGGTGAGGTCAGAGATGACCACCGTTCGCCGAGCACTGCTGTGGGCCGGGCCCTCGAGGGGCCCTTCAGGGCGCGGCGTGGTGGCCCCCGGTGCAGCCTCAGGGGCCAGGCTGCCCAGCCCAGGCTCTGGACAAGCGGCTTCCCCACTTTGGGCCTCAGTTTGCTCCTCTGTCACAGCACCATCCAACAGGTACTGGGCGCTTACTGGGTGGCAAGGCTCCATTTAAGTGCCTGTACGGGTATTAACTCATCCCTCACAGCAAGCTTATGAGGTGGACCTTATTATTATTTCTATTTTATGTGGGGGGGCGGGGGCGGAAACTGAGGCTTAGAGAGGGGAAGGAACTTGAAGGCTCTTCAACAAGTCAGAAGCTGGAGCTTGAACTCTGGTCTCCCAGAGCAAGGCTCTGCGCACGAGCCCACCCTGCTTCTCCGCAGAACAAGGTGTCAGCAGAAAGCAGAGTCTCCAGGAGGAGCCAGAGGTTTGGGCAGGCCTGTGGCGCCTTTACTGGACCTGCAGTGACGGGGGTCTCCCCAGAGGCCTTGGGGGAGAGAGCTGTTCTCTGCTCTTTCCAGCCCGGGGCCTGCAGTGTGGGGGAGGGGGCTCCATCTGCTGCAGAGGGCAGCCCAGAGGGCGGGAGAGCTTGACCCGAAGAGGGCACAGCCTTTCTGGCTGTGAGGACAACTGAGTCAGAAGTGGGACTGGCCTCACTGGGGCAGCTGGTCTGCCTGCTTGGGGTGAATGGGTTCCAGCAGGTGCGGCAGCGACAGCCGTTCTCGTGCATGGCGCGTGCTGGGTACCAGCCCTGCTCCAGCTCCACGTGTTCGTGATCACGTTGACTGCCCAGCAGGCATGGTGTTAGGCCCATTTCTCAGATGCGCAAACCAAGCCTCAGGGAGGTTAAGCCCCTTGCTTAGGGTCGCACAGCAAGTCGAAGGCCGAGCCAGGACTGGTACCCAGACAGTATGGGCCCAGAGCCCCTGCTCTTAAGTGCTGCACCACCCGCCTCTTGAGAAATCTTGGACTTGACCACAGACCAGGACCCTGTTCATGCCTACCTCCCCTGACTCCATGAATACTGGCCTGGAGGACAGGGCTGGGGTTGTCACCCTCACCCCTGCCCTATACCAGCAGATGGGTGCAGCCTCCCTCTGCAGCAGGTGCCACATGGAGTGAGCTGGGGCAGACTTTGGGGGTCTCAGCCCGGTGGGTCTTACACTCAGGGTTTGGGGGGCCTGGGGAACCTGGGTTGGGGTTCTTGGTGGGACTTGTGCTTACAGACAAGGGCCCCCCTGGCCGTGGATCCCTGCCCGCTTGCCCGCCTGCCCGCCCGCTCGGCACCTGCCAGCTGGGCCAGGCCTGTGGTTTCCTCTGAGTTCTCTCAGCACTGCTGGCCCCCACCCAGGCCGAGCCTCGGCCACACAGCGTGATGATGAGGGATGAGTCACAGCCGTGGGGAGGGGTGGGGGGGGTGAGGAAATGAGGTCCAGCCACAGCAGAGATCCAGGGCCTGGATCCAGCTGGGGAAACCGAGGCCAAAATGAGGAAGGCCCCTCAGCAGAGAGCAACAGCTGGGACTAGAACCCGGGACCCCTGACTCTCAGCACAGGTCTCAATTTCCTCCTCCATAACATGCAAATGACAACCTCGGCTCTGCTCTCCGCTGTCACTCCTAGGCCTTCGTGAAAGTCGCAAGATGGGATAGGGAGCTCATTCGCCCTATTTCACAGATGAGGAAACAGGTTCCAAGAGGGAAGGTAACTTGCCCGTGGCCATACAGCAAATTAACCTTTCCTAGGAAGGAAGCCCACCCAGAACCATGGAATAGGCCTGATCACTGCTTCTGTCCTATCACCTCCCAGGGGTGCATCTTGAAAGGCTCTTTTTGGTTTATCAGGGGCCTCCTTTGGCCTCCCCTGGTCCCTGGAGGTAAAGGATATAGACTCGACAATATGGGTGACGAAATGGGGGTTCAGAGAGATTTGTTCCTTCCAAGGGCCACAGAACACACGCAGGAAAAAGTCACGGTGAGGCTGAGTTTCTGCCTCTTCAAAGGCCTGGGCCCCGGCCCCACTACCATCACTAGAACTCCCATCCCCAGTGGATACAGGCCTTTCAGGAAAAAGCTTTTCACCCGAGGAGCCATCCTGATGGAGGGAGTGAATCCATGGCTTTTTGGGCCAAGGCTCTGGGCTGTGTTTCTTCAAGTCCTGGGTACCAGGCTGGGAGCATCCCCTGCCCCTTGCCTGGTGTGCCCTGCCCACCACGGTGCTTGGTTGTGGGCCCCTTCTGCATGGTGCCCGTTACAATGACGACACTGCGATCTTCCCTGCAAGGTGCGTGGTGCCTTGTGGGGCCAGCGCCACCAGCTTCCCCTGCCCGGTGTCCTGGGCACCCCCTTGTGGGCTAAGAAGGGTTAACACCCTCAACGGGACAGCTCCTCCAGGCGGGTTCCAGCCCAGAAAGCGTTCCTCCAAGGCTATTTCCTGCCTCTGGGCCTTGGCCAGGCCCACAGTGACCACCCCCATGGGTCTGAGGCCGCATCTGGTTTGGATTATGCCGGGCCTGGTGACGCTGCCTCTTCCTGTCTGCGTCCAGTGGCCTTGAATTCCACTGGCCACCTTGGACCCAACAGGGCAGTGGTGGGAAAAGCTTCGGCCAGTGACAGGGCGGCCCGAGGGTGTCCAGCAGCCAGGGCTGTCCCGAAGGATGTGCCTACCTGCCCCAAGCTCCCAGTCGCACGGCTGCCCAAGCACCTGTTCCTTTCGGCACATTAATGGCTGTTATTTACTGAGCACCGGGCCCTGTAGCAAGTGATTTCCATTTATGAACTCATTTTATCCCCACCCTATGAGTGGGTATCTTCATTAGGGATTTCATTAAGATGAGGAAGCTGAGGCTCAGGGAGTTTATGGACAAGTCCCTGAGTCCCCAGCCAGTACATGGTGGGGTCACGGTGCAAAGAAGGTGGTCTGACTTCTGACACGGCCCAATCATGTCACAGCTACTTGGAGAGTCCCTGCTCTCGGCCTGGCCCCAAGCTAGAACCCGGAGGTGAATTAGTCATGGTCCCCACCCTCAGGGAGCTCACACCCTCTGGAACCCCACCAGGTGGGAGCTTGGGGGTTAGGGTGAAGCTGGAGAGACATGGAAGAAGACACGAACTCCTATTCTCTTTTCTCCCGTGGCAGAAGTGACATCCAAGCTGAGAGCAGTTGAGGGGCAAGCCTTTTCCAGATGGAGCAAGGACAGTGGTCCAGGCAGAGGAGATCGCATGTCCAAAGGCTGTGGCTAAGAGCAAGTTTGTGTTGGAGCCTCCCAGTATGGCTTTTACATATGATGAAGCAGGAAATCAGTCTGGAGAAGTTGGCAGGGGCTTCAAATGCCAGCCTGAATCGAGGCAATAGGGAGATATGGAAGGGTTTTGAGCAAAGGAGGCACATGGCCAGATCTGTGGTTTACAGGGATCCCTTGTAAACCAGCGAGGTCAGTGAGTGTGAGAGAGAGAGGCTGGAGGCAGGGAGGCCAGAAGGAGGCTGGGCCAGGTCTGCTTGAGCGGTTGAGAGAAGTGGGGGGACGAGAGGGAGACACAGGTCTCATGTGCCTCTAGGGGGACAGGCTCATGACAGAGACTGGGCTCAGGTCACACAGAACGGGGTTCAAATCTACTTATTTGCCCTCTCTGAGCCTCAGTTTCCTGTCTGTAAAATGGGGGTAATTATCATACCTGCCTCGCAGGAACAATGCGTCACACGAGGGATAAGGATAGAACAGGTGGCCCAGGATGCTGAGCTTCTGTTTGTTCCACAACTATGTCTCCAGACCCTCCTGTGTTCCAGAGAGCATTCTAGGTGCTGGGGGGCAAGCAGCCAGGAGACAAAAGTCTCTGGCCTTGTGGAGCTTTATTTGAGGTGGGAGAACTCTGACCAGGCAGTAGTGAATTTAGAATGTGCTGGTGGGGTGGGTGGGGGCAGAGTCTGGGAGGGCTTCTCTGAGGACAGAGTTTGAACAGAGATCAAAGTGTACTCTGAGGGTTAGTAGAAGACTGTTCCAGGCAGAAGGGAGAGCAAGTGCAAAGGCAGTTTGGAGTGAGGGTAGGGCTAGCAGGGACGAAGCCGGACGGCCCGGGCCCCTAACTTGGGCTTTTGCTCTGAGTAGGTCACCGAGCTCCTGGGGGCTTCTCTGAGATTTAATCCATGGCGAATGGAAAGGGTGGGTGGCCATGACTCCATTCATCCACTCAGCAAACCTTTATCAAGGGCCTTCTGTGTGCTGGTTGCCAGGTTAGGGAAGTGGATACAATGAATAGGGCAGACCAACCCTTGCTCCCTGAAGCTTGCATTCAAAGTCAGAAACACAATAAAAAGTGAACACGCCTTGAAATGCATAATCCCACATTGCAGTAGGTGCCTGGTGGAGGAAACAAATAGGATGCAGGAGATGGCGACTAATCTGGAAGCATCTAATCAATTAAGGGGGTGAGGAAGGCTCTCTGAGCAGGTGGTACTTGGCCTCTGGATGTTGAGAAGTCAGCCAGCAGGGAGGGAGCATTCCAGGTGGAGGGGACAGCAAGTGCAAGGGCCGAGAGGTGGAAACAGCACCACCAGGGAGTTGGCTGTCTTCAGGAGCAGGAGGGTCAGCCTCTCATTTGTATCCAAGACAGATCAGGGCTCCCTGAGGGCTGTGGTCAGGAGGAGGCAGGCACCACCAGGCAGGATTCTGGCTGTGTGACTAAATGGGCCTCTGGCCTGTTTTTAGCCTGGAACCACTTCCTTTGGCCCCACCAGCTGCCTCGCTGTCACCACCCAGTTACCAGTGGGGCAGGAACAGGGATTGGGCCCCTCTGGCTGTGCGGGGACAGAGGTTTGCCACGTGCAAAGGAAGGGGCAGAGCGACTGGGCTGAGGGTACCAGGCCCCCCAGCGGGGCTGTCTTATGTTCTGATATCATTCTTGTTGGCTGAATTGTACACAGTGTGTGGGACGAGGTTTCCCCCATACCGGTCCTGGGGATTGACAACATTACCCCCATTTTACAGATGAAGAAAGCGATACTCAGAGAGGTGAGTCCACTTGCTCAAAGTCACACGGCAAGGAAGTGGAGATGTCAGGAATTGAACCCGAAGCCTGTCTCTGTAACAGTCTTCCCTTCCCCTGTATCCCCCCATCTTCTCCTGGGGAGTAGATCAGGTTAAGGGGACCTGCCCCTGGGACCCAACTTTTTAAAAAATTTAAACACATTGCGGTTTCCTTGTGCCCGACTGGGTTCTAAGCACTTTGCAAATATTAACTCATGTCATCCTCACAACAACCCCATAGACTCCCACTGTTCGTGTCCATATGTTATAGACAGGGAAAACACAGAGAGGGGAAGCAACTTGCCCAAGGCCACACAGCTAGGAAGTGACAGAGCTGGGATCTGAACCTAGGCAGCTGGGCTCCAGAGCTCCTGCTTTTAGCGCTGTACCTACTGCCCCCGGCAGATGGGAATCACCCGGGTGTCGTCGGGACAGGGTGTTTTGGCTGAAGACTGGATTGCTAGGTCCCATACACTTTCTGCAGGCAGACATGCCTCCCCCTTCTCCCTCACCGCTGTGGCTGCCTCAGAGTGGTGAGGGTCTCAGGCCCCCGGCTCAGGCGCAGTCTGGGTGTGGGGAGTGTTGAGCTCTGGGCAGTGGAATGCCATAAACCGGGGAAGGAAGCGGGTGGGCGGGAGAGCAGAGGGAGATAAGATGTGGAGGGTGGAGGAGTCTGAGGAAGGCCCAGCCCTGCGGGTGGGGGTGGCCTCCCTGGGGGCAGGGAGAGCAGAGACCAGAGGACCAGCAGGTGAAGCTTCAGAGCCGCCAGACCTGGGCGGGAAGGGGCCGCCTCTGAAGGCAGCAGGCTCCCCTTTCCTGGAGCCCCACGTGACTTGGTACTTGGTGTAGAGGGGGTTCAGAAAGTGGGCAGGAGATATTCCAGGATATATTCCAAGAATCTAAGCTGCTGTGATTAAAAACTCTGGAATATTCTTAAATATCCCTGATTCTACCATGTTGGAATTTGATCTAGCCCACTCTGCAAGGCAGCTCTGCGCGCTTTTCCACGCTAACCCGCTGGGGACGAGTTGGAGGGGCTGGGATCCCCTCCTGGAGGTGACAAGCCTCCAGGGAGGAGGAGGGTCCCTGAGGCAGAGGCAGATGGGACAGCCCCTGTCCTCTAAGGGCTGCACAGTTAAGGTAGCGGAGCGGTTACCTGCTCCTGCTTTGCTGTGTGACCTTGGGCACATTGTTTGCCTTCTCTGGCCTTGGGCTGTCCATCTGTGCTGAGGTACTCTCTCTGGGTTGGCCCGGCTTAGGCATTCTGAATCTCTGCTAAGCACTGTCCACCCCTCCAGGTGGGGGTGGCCGGGCAGGAGCCACAGGGCGTCTGTTGGTCATGGAAAGAATGTGAGGGCAGGAGGCCCAATGGGTGGGGTCCCCGGGCTGGGCAGCCAGCAGAGGGCAACATGAGATCATGGTGTCTGGGCCTCCTGGTCCAGCACCTCTGGGGATGGGATCCCCTCCAGGCAGTCCCCCATGTCAGACCCTCCCCTGGGACCCAGACTCAGAGGCAGGCTGCCCTTTCCCCAACCCCTGCTGGGCAAAGGGAGTGAAATCAGGGCCCAGAGAGATGGGCACTCAGCCAGGTTCAGACAGCGAGTTCAAGGCAGGCACTGAGCCCAGGGTGCCTGCTCTGCTTGGGAATTGGGACTGAGGGAACTTGTCTTCACTTCTTGACTATGTTGGGGGGTCAGAGAGGGACATGGAGAGAGGGCTCTGGCCCATAGCTGAGTCTGTGCACCAGCTGTGATTGATCCTTTTTGGTACGTCTCCTCAGGGCAAAGGGTGGGACGTGACTTCCTTTTCCCCAAGCCCCCACCCCAGTTCAGATGCCAAGCTCCTTAGAGGATGGCTGGAGCAGGATGCAGAGGTGGGGGCTCCCTAGTCAGGCCAGCCTCTCCAGGCTCCTACAAGCTCAGGACACAGGCTGGGAAGGGACTGGGGTCACCAGGTCTCCACAGGAATGCACCACAGGGAACATTGCCCGGCAGAGGCCTCTTTCCCTGACCCAACTGAAAAAGAACACTTATCCCCCTGAATCTGTTTGTCCCTGTCTCTGTAACTATCTGTTTGTCTCTGTGCATCACACACACACACACGCGCGCGCGCGCACGCACACACAAGCACACACCTTGGAACAAACCCACATAAGCATCTCCTTCCCCTCTCCTCACTCACGCCCCACTCACACAGAACTTCGCTGTACTCTTGGCCCATGAGGCTTTCTGCATGTGATGAGACGGGACAGACCCTCTCTTCTTCTCTCCATTGCTAGATGGATTCCAGGTTGGTGCCCGGCGTGCATGGTGGGGAGGGGCCCCACAGCTGGCCAGGCATTTTCCCAACCCCTTCCGGCCACAGTGAGCCCCGACCCTGCAGGCTCTGGAGTCTGTGGGAACCAGACAGTTGGGACTGTCCAGCCGGGCTCGCTTCCGCCCAGGCCCCAGGGGACCTGCTGAGGGAGGAGGGAGCAGCAGAGACTGAAATCAGCACGGCTGCCTGCCTGAGTGAGGGCCTCTGGAGGGACTGGGCTGCCTGCCCGACCAAGGAGTCTCCAGCCCCCTGGGTGTCACCTCGTGGGACGAGAGACCCATCAGGCCCTTACACCAAATGCCAGAAAGGGGGTTCCCCCAGTATCCCTGGCCTCTTTCTTTTCTCCCTCTACCCAGGATCCAGATGGGGGTACCAAGGCTTCCAGAAGGAAGCCCTTTGCCTCAGCAACTCTGGGTATTGAAGGGTGTGGGGACAGGGAGGTTTCAGATCCCTGAGTCTCTTCCTCTGATAGGGGCCATGAGTATACCCATTTCTCCTGCTTCTGCCCAAGGGGGGAGGCTAGAAGAGGCCAAAGGTCAGGGCTCAGTCACTTCTGATCTGTACCCAGGACAGCCACCCACTCCCCCGCAGACAGAAATGCTTTCTTAAAGAGTCATCAGGAGGCCTTTGGAGAGCTGGGGGCTCAGGGAGATCCCTCATTCATGTGGGAAATGCAGACAAGGGGCCTGGTGCCTGCCTTTTGAGCCTCGGTTTCCCTGCCTATGCAAGGGGTCCGGGTGCCTTTTTTGTAATAGCGTTCCAGAATTCCATAAAAGCCCCTCCCGCTCTGGCGGTCTACACCAGCTCTGCTCCTACCCTGTGTGCCACCTCTGTGTCCTCACTCAGACTGCGGGACAGGGGCTGGGGGTATAGTTACTCATTTGCCATCTGGACCCCAAACTCTCTGAGCCTCAGTTTCCACCACTGTAAAATGGGGATAACATTCCAAATTGCACAGGGCTCGGTGAAAGGATATAGACAAGCCCAGGACAGAATAAATGCCACAAATGGTCACAGTTATTCTGACCACTTGTAATGGGGGAGGGGGGTGCTGAGTGACAGAGCTTGGGGCTGGAGAATTAGCCCCTCAGGCCAGCCCAGCTTCACCCCCTGCCGGGTGTCTCTTGGCTACACTCCTTTTCTCTCTTCCCTATTCCCTGCTCCCTCTTCCTCCACCTTCCTGGGAAACTCCCTGAGAAAGTCCCCAGCAGGAGAAAGCCTCATATGGGACATTTCCATCCAGGGTCCCCTGCCCCGAAATCCCCCAACCACAGCCACCGCACACAGAACCAGGCGTCCCGGCCCTCAGCCCCCAACCATCCAGGAAGCTGACCCTCATCCATCACACTGGTTTTATTGGCCCTGAGAGCCACAGAGTAAATCCCAAGGGGGCCCTGCCTCCCCTCTCCCTCAAGTCTGTCCGGAGGCGCCGAGGCTGGCTGAGTGTTCACTACTCCAATCTTGGCTTCCTGTCCCGGTCGTTGGCTTGTCAGGCCTGGGTCTCTTGAAACCTCCCCAGATCCTTGAGTCAGGCTCAGCCTGGAGGGTGTGGTTGGCAGGGGACCTGCAGGGACTGCCTGAGGCCAGGCTGGCTTCACTCAAAGAAGAACATTCCTGGTGTCCGGTATAGGCAGGGGGTCAGCCCCAATGGGTAGCTGGAGCCTCCCTGGACAGGGAAACTTCCTGCAACCCAGGGTTCCTTGGGGTCAGCTGGCAGGGGAAGCGGCGCCCGGAGTGAGGCTGGAGGGGTGGGTGGTGCCGGAGAGGGGGCTGCTGAGGCCAAGAGGTGCTCAAGGCCTGGATCAGTCCCCATGCAGAAATTCAGTGCCTGCAGCCGGCACGGGTAGCTGCTCCCGATGCCTGCCTCGGGGGTCAAGATGGGCGTGGGGGCCTTGCTAAAACCTTCGGCCTCAGAGAAGCCCGCAGGAAAGCCAAATGCTGGGCACGGGGAAGACGAGGGGGCCACAGGGAGCTCCCCTGGGCCTGCAGGCTTAGGTGTGGGCATCTCTTTGGGCTCCGTGGGCGGCCGGGGCCTGGCATCCGGGGTTGCTGGGCACATGCTAGCCGGCAAGGCCCCCACCAGACCCCCAAAGCTTAAGCCCTTGGGCTCGGGCAGCTCCGGTGGGAAGGGGCACGGCCTGCCAGTCATGGCGTCGGGGACTCCTGGATCCGGGCTGCTCACTCTGAGGGGTCCACGACGTGCCTTGGCAGGGCCCTTGGCTCCCTCGGCACCTGCTCTCCGGGTGAAGCGTCGGCGTCGGCGCAGGAAGCTGCCGTGCTCAAACATGTCGTGGCAGTCAGGGTCCAGCGTCCAGTAGCTGCCCTTGCCCGGCTTGCGGTCATCGCGGGGCACCTTGACGAAGCACTCATTGAGTGACAGGTTGTGGCGGATGCTGTTCTGCCAGCCGGGCCTGTTGTGGCGGTAGAAGGCGAAGCGGCCCATGATGTAGCGGTAGATGCCACTGAGTGTGGCCCGCTGCCCCGGTGAGCTCTGGATGGCCATGGCGATCAGAGCGATGTAGCTGTAGGGAGGCTTGGTGGGCTCGGCCGCAGGGGCCAAGGGCCCGGGTAGGGGCTGCTGCTGCATGCTGGCCGGGGCTGGCGGCTGCTGGGACCACGGAGGGGCCAGGCACAGGCGTCCAGGCCCGGTGTCCGGCACAGCCTGCCCGGGCTGGTTAAAAGGCCCACTGGCCCAGCCTCCCAGCCTGGAAAGGCAAAAAGGGGTGGGCCCACCAGGCTGCCCTCCCTTCCTCCCTCAGCCCCCTCCCTGCCGCCAGGCCCGAGAGGGGCGGGCACGGAGGCCCGCACTGGGAAGCTGGGAGCCGCTGCTGCCGGGGTGAGGAAATAGGAGGGAGGACACCGCGACCCTCAGCCCCCACGTGCTGGGTGGTGGTGGCTGCGAGGGACAGCACAGGCAACCGAGCGAGACAGAGACAGAGAAACCAAAAGAGAGAAAGACACAGAGAGGTAGAGACATAGCAAGAGAAACAGTGACACGCACCGCGAGACAGAGGCAGAGACACACACGGAGAGACGAAGATAAGGCAGAGAGAACAGAGACACACAGAGCCAGCCGCGCACACGCACACACCACCCAGAGAAAGAATCACTGAGAGAAATCAGTGTACAGAGAGAGGGTGAAAGAGGAAGATGCAGAGGGAGACACAGCACAGACACAAGGGACGAGGGCAGAGAGACAGAGAGAGGCACACTGAGGAGAGAGACTAGGCAGATGCAAAGGGGCTGAGCTGGAGAACTGGGGACCCCGGGTGGGAAAAGCCCCAGGGGTCCTCAAATCCCCGCCTCTAGCTCCCCCTTTTCTCCCCTCCTTCTTCCAGGCCTGAGGTCTACTTTCTCCTCCCAGCAGGGTGCAGCCCCTGGGGTCACACTAGCTCCCGGGCGTTTGGGGGCGGGCGCCACCGAGGTGGTGAGAACCGCCAAACCGCGTGTGCTGAGCTCCGGCGCCCTCTAGTGACTGGTGTGGGGAGGACAGCCATCTGGGCAGAGACATTCCCCCACCACCTCCCAAGAGGCTTTTCAAGCAAGTCCCTGACTTTGGCCGAGCCTCAGTTTCCCATCTCTAAACTGGAGCTGGCGACTCTTCAGCTGTCCATACTGTGGTCAGGAGGCAACAGGCCCCCTTACACGGCATCCAGCACCCTCCAAGAGTCTAGCACAGAGTAGGGGTTTGGATGTGACTCAGGAATGTCACTCTGAACCGAGGCTACCCATCAGCTGCAGCCTTGGGCCTTGGGCCAGTGAAGCCTAGGGCAGTCAGGTCTTCCCTGTCAATGCTCTCCCACCCATAAGTAACCAAGTCAGAGGACACCTACTGTGTGCCACTCCCCATGTCAGCCTCCTGACAACTTGCCTTCTCTCTCTGCATTTACTCCTTGGACCAACCCTGCTCTACAGCCCTTCATGGCTTCTTTTGAATAGATGCAGAATCTACGCCTCAGAAAGTTTAAGTGACTTGCCTGAGGTCACACAGCTAGTGAATCACAAAGTTGGGATTTGAATCTAGTATTCTATAACTCCTTAACACCACCCTTTCTATAGGAGAGAAGCAGGGAGACAGGACAGTCACTGGACCCCCACTGGAACACAGGCTATGAACCCCAAGACAGCAGGGATGTGCTGTTTTGTCCAGCACTGGCCTGGAAGCCGAGTGGGTGCTCAATCAATGTTTGTTGAATAAATAAAAAACAGTGATCTGATTGACTTCTGTCCTTTGCCGAAGCATACAGCTCTCCCCCACCATAAAAGAGGCGTATTAATGTATCACTAACAGAGATTTATTATGTTGCCATCTGTAAGAGAATCTCTATAAAGTCAGAAATCAAAAAGGGAAACAAGGTCTGATATCTGGGGCAGGAAACAGTGAATTTCCCGCCAAGGCAAGTTGCCTTCATGGTTGAAGGGGCTCCCTTCCAATTCTCAAGGACTTCCTACAACTTGCAGTTTGCAAAGCCTCCGACATTAGCTTCTGCCCTAGGGCTGTGTTTGGGACTCAGCCTGAATTCCTTCAAACACAGTATCTACTGGTGCTGGTGGTTCAGTTGTCAACCCCCAAACCCCCCAGTTCAGGCCAAGTTTTCTGCTGTGGGAGCCCTCCCTGGCCACATAAGAATAGAGACTAGTAGCAGGTGGGAGGATGGGTCTGGAAACTCAGAGCCCCTTAGAGGCCAGGCAATTCTGTTACTGCCTGGCTTCTCTCTAATCCCTGAGGATCTAATTATCGGTAAACCCAGCTTTAAGCAAACCTTATAATGAATCAGTTGCAGGTAAAGCGGGCTCGCAGGTATATCACCACAGACCTGTTGGGCTCCCAACGAGAAATGAAGTCTTGTTTCTGCCCTAATTGCTGTTTCCAGAAGCTCAAGGTCGAGTTTGGTTTCCTCCTGACTTCCCAGGCCCAGCTGTGTGCCGTCCGCCCACGCGCTCCAGGGCTGCATCTCTGCGGCGGAGAGGTTGAAGGGCGCGGATCTGCTTCCCTCGTCCCCACTGACCTGGGCGATGGGCAGCCCCAAGTCCACGGGCAGGTCTGGGGTGGGGTCCGCACTCGCGGGAGCGGGGTGACTTCGGATGGTAGGAGAGGAGGAAGTGACCCTTTACTGCTGACTCAGCTGCATGAGCAGGTGAGTGACGCCATCGGCGATGCTGGGCTGGGGACCTGCCACCGCTGGGATACCACCCTAGTGGTGCTTGAGTGCAGGAAGAGCTCACTGGTGAAGACTGGCTCCACCTGTGAGGGTGGGAGGGGCAATGAACCAACTCTCTCAGCGCGCCCCCCCCCGTATGTTCCAGTGGGAAGTCACAGTCCCAGTGACAGTCCCCACCCCACAGGCACTTTATGTGCAGGGTCCTACAGACCAGAGGGTCATCGGGTTAGGAGCTGAGGACTGGAGGGAGTCGGTAAGGGGCTGTTGGAGGTGACTGAAAGGTGTGGCTCTTCGCTGGAGTGGGAGGTGACTCACGTGGGCCATGATGAGCCGCTCCTCGGGCTGGTCTGGGGGCCCTGGGTACTCCTCGCCAAAGCACAGACGGATTTGGTACTCGGGCTCCTGGCGACCATCCTGAAGGTGGGCACGCAATTCTACGGGCACCAAGACTGGGGGCTTAGGAGTCCCACCTGGTGCCCACCCTGTGCTTCTATCCCACGCCCCTGTCCGATAAGGCCACATCCCCATTGTGTGCCCATGCCCTATGCCCATTTCCACATCCCTATACCTGTCTCATGTCCCACATCTGTGCCCACTTCCAGTGCTCATCCCCTGTGCCTTGTGGTCCTATGCTCACCGTCACACCTTCACCCCCAGCCCATGTCCACTGCCATTCACCTATGCCTACCGAGTGCCCAGTGCCCTAATGCCCAGCCTACGCTTAGCGCCCTATGCCAATACACGTGCCCAAGTCTTATGCTCATGTCCCACACCCAATGCTCCAAGCCTGCCCCGTGCCTACACTCCCCATAACCTATGTCTCTATCTGTGCCCAGGTCCCCCGATGCCCACATTCGTTCCCACTCCTGGTGCTCGTGCGTCACGTCCTTTGTTTCAACGTCCACCCCAAACCCAGAATGCATAAGCCCATCCCCCACCCCCCGTGCTCACATCTCATGTGCCCACTCTCCCCTGCTCCCGTGCCTTTGCCCACGCCCCTCGTGCCCAGCCACTCTGTCCCACGCCGCCAGCGGCCCGGCCGTCGCGCTCTTACCCTCGAGGAAGCGGCGCGTGTCGAGCAGTTGGCAGGTGCGCCCGCGCTCCAGCTTGTCGGGCGGCGCGCGGTGCGGGCGGAGCGGGCCC